TTTAACATCGTATCACTAGGTTATGATAGAATATCTTGTCTTGTGGTTATTTCTCATACTCTAAAGTACAATAAAAAAAATACCTTATTATCTTATTATTTTTTCCTAATATAGAATATCATTTTGTTTTTATTTATTTATTTATTTAGCTTAGAGTACCTTGTTCTATTTTTCCTAATATATAGTATCTTTTTTTTTTCCTAAATTAATGTTTATCAAAAAGTATCACATCTTATTTATATATTTTATTGAAATTTTTTACTTAACATGAGTATTAATTTTAGATATTTGTCCAAAGTTTTTTGAGGTCATGTTGATGTAGCATTCATTCCACTTATAAATATAATCATTTAATTGAATATGTCAAGTAAAAGTTTCCAATGTTCTAATCATATATAGTAAGTTTTGTTGATTAACAAATTATCCAGAATTTTTTTCATATATTTTGTGATACAAATTAAGTGATTGTTTAAATATAACATAATCTACTCTCTATAGCTGAATTATGCTTATATTTTAAAAAATATAAGAACACGATTTAGTAACAAAGTTATTATTAAAGTATAATACGGTAGAGTTTTCTTACATAGTTTTAATTTTGTTAAACAGAACCTATTTCATTATATTATTATCAATATGAATGACATTCACATCACAATCAATCTTATTTTTTTATGAAAAAACCAAGATTGATTATCCTTCAAAATAAGAAACACATCATTGCAAAATTATCATTATAATACGTGTTTCAATGTTTATTTAAATAGTTGATATTTTCATTAAAATATTAACATATCAATCATGTAGACATTTAATTATCAAATTTATATTTGTAGATCTACAACATTAATTTAATGATTTAAAAGGGATGTCAACAAAAATCATATCAATAATAAATTATTTGTGATTATATATCATAATAATAATAATAATTTATAAATTGATAATATTTATATAAAAATTCTCTCCTAATGATATATTTTTTAAGTTTTAAAGTATTATTTATCATTTTTTTTAATGACATACTTTCCGATAACGATACTAATTTGACTAATATGCAATTTTCTCATTGTTAAATGAAGAGTACACCTGGTTATTATGTATCAAGACACACATTTATAAACTTATTTTTAATATTTGAGCAGAAATATTTTTTCAATTATCCTCAACGAATGTCAGGACAAATTATCAAAAATAAATATACAATTTTTAAAATAAAAGTTATAAAAAAATTCTGGATAGGAATCATGATTCATTAACTAGATTAGTAAAAGTGGAGTGACGTATGAGTGGAAGTTGGTAAAGAGATAATGAAATTTTAAGTATAAGTAAAAGTATTTGATTGGGTCTTAAAAAGACAATCCAACCGTCCAACCATCACTTAAAAGTAGTGCTGAACTGGCCACAGTATATTGAAGGGACATGTTACATGAGCAAAAAACATTATTTATTTTCATGCATAACAAATCATTCATATATATAACGGTTATCAATTATTATTTTTTTCATTTAAAATTAAAATTACTTACTTTATCCTTATATATTCAATTTATTCCATCTAATAATGCATCATCAAATCAAATCTATTAAAGAATATATTATTCAATCCCAGTATAAGCAAATCTTACGAATGTACAAAACATGGAAAACCAATCATGACCTCTTTATTTTACTCCGTGCCTTTTATTACAGGACAAGCATACATTAAATTCCACTTTCATTAACAGATCCAATTATAATGTTACAGTTCCCATGCGTACCAAACACACTATTGATCTTTGTTCTACCTTTGTTTTGGTAGGTGTAAGTTGCAACTTCACCATGTAATGTTCATTTAGATAGATGGGCCAATGTTTTAGTTTAATTTCTACTTGATGATGATAAAATAACAATGATGCCCCGTATTGAAATTTAAGTCAAACAATCCGTGTGCAAATCATAATAGGTTTACACACAATTTCTTCTCGACAATAAGATGGAATGCGAGAAAATTTTCATGCTCGTAAAGAAATTTGAATGATGACGCATTCGTATGAATACGAATTAAAATTTTTCAATTTTGGACAAGTGAAGAAAGTGATACACGAAAGCCTTGAGAATAATTACACCTCCATATCAAAGTGGCAATGGCTCTTATAATAATTTCAGTGATGTTTTCATTGGACTTTTATCATACATCTTGCAGGCCCCATAGGGACATACTATATCTGAAATGAACGTGTGGCCGAGACTGGTTCTTCAGTGTAAAGGCCCGGAAAATGTGCTAACAAAACCGGAGGGAATTATTAGAACTTGGCCAATGATAACAGTTTTGATTTTTTTTGTTTTATTTTGCATATGGTTTGCAAACGATTAATTTAATTGCCATACATAGATGTTTAGATAAAATCAATGATGAAATTTTAGCATGGTCAAAAAAACATAATTAATGATGAAAGCGAGAGTTTAGTGTTCATTGTTAATCCCATTACCTAAATGAAACTGCATTATTATGTGTTAAACATTGACGCATGGTGTCTGTGGTTTATTTGGTTACTTGTCCAGAGTTCTTGAGTGGTTATTAATCCTTATTATTGAACTCATGTCATTCATAATATTACATGTCGTTATTCATGAAAGATAACCCCCAGCAACCCAACCCTTTTGGCACTTCCTTTTTCTTTTCCTTTTCCCTTTCCCTTTCCCTTTCACAATTGAAGTACATGAAAGTGAGTAAAAAAAAAAAAAGAGTGGAGAAAGTTACTGAAAAGTGATGGATACTTATTCCAAGTTGAACTCATAAACTAGGTTGTGAGTAAGTTGAATCATAATTTTTGACCTAGTAAAAAAAATTAATCCAACTTAACCTAAACATTATCCTCTAGATTGGTGCACATGTCTGAGCCCATGTACAAGACTATAAGTAGATGAGAATAGATATGACAACAACATGGGAACTATTTGACGGTGATGTTTGGGTATGATTATTATGATTATGTTGTGTTATTTTCTTTTTCATGTTCACTAATTAAGATATTGGTAATATTAATTTATTTTTGTTATTTTGTACTCTTTCATTTTATTTTGAAATATTTTGTATGATACACGCTAAAATTAACTTAGTTCATGTTTTATTTAACTATTTAAAATTTATTAAAATCAATAAAAACATTACACATAAATAAAAATAAATTAACTTCCCAACAAAACCTTGCTTTTATCAAATATACTTTTGTTAAAAAATAAAAAATGCAAAGATGAAAGCATCGGTATCATGGGCCACAAGTATGATTACACGTTCCAATGTGGGCCGCAAGTATTTTGGGTCGATAGCTGGCCTTTGTAATGTTTTGCTTTTTACACTACTCTTTTCTTAACCACACTCTGCTTTTGCATCTTTTGTTTAAAATGACGTATTCACCTTTACTTCCCCTTTCTAGTTTCACGTTCCAGCGTTAAAAATAATGTGTTTTGAAAAGTAATTTAAAAAATGTCTTCAAAAATACATTTTGAAATATAAGAAAATAAAATAATGTTTTAGAAAGTATTTTTCAAATATTTTCGTTATAACATGAATGGAATACTTTTCATTCTCATATTTACAGAATGGATTTTTTTGGATTTTTTTTTATATAAACATTGGAAAGTACTTTTTGCAACATTTTTTTTCTTATATTTAAAAAAAAATCTAAAACATGAAACGAAAAGAATGTTTCATAAACTACTATTTGAAAAGCAAAGAGACTATTAAATACTTCATAAACTCTCTTATACGTTATATATTAACTTTTAAAAATATTTTTAAAATTGAATCGAGTCGGATAAAATATGGGTTCAATTACATTTCAACTAAATCTAATAAAATAATTGTTTAAAATATAATAAGTTTATTAATAATTTAACAAAAGAAAAAAATTTAAGATTAATGTCATAATCACTATAAATTACAATAAGAATTATAGAGATAGTGATAAGTACATGAAGAATAATTATTAAAATAAGATAAAAGTAACTATTATTTAAAATTGATGTAGCTAAGATAAGATATATATATATATATATATATATATATATATATATATATATATATAATTTTTTATAAAAATTATGTATAAAAATTTAATTTTTTTATTCAGTCCAAAAACTCAGTTGATTTTTTGAGTTTTGTTATGATTTAGTTAAAATCTAATAAGTAACGTACCAATTTTTAATATGATTTCCAATTAAGTGATCTTATTTTTAAAATGATACTTCTTTTTTATATTATAATTTTTATAAATATTTACTTTTTTAAAAAAATTAAGTTCTATCCAAAATGTTAAAAAATTAGGCTTTTGAAGAGTACATTTTTGTATTGTAAAAAATCATTATGAAAAATACTTTATGAACACACATTTTTGTTTTCACAACATTTTGGAAAGTACTTTTTAGATAAGACAATTAATAATATTTCATAAAATATTTTTTAAAATGTTATGAAAATAAAAAAATGTTCTTTTAAGATTTTTTTAGGCTTTTCAAATAAAAATAAAAGAAACAATGTTAAAAGTGTAAATACTATTTTAATTAATTAAGAAATGAAATTGAATTTAGCTAATCTTTATGGTGCCAGAATAATTGTTGCGGGTTGAGAGAATCAATTTTTCCTTCTTTTTTTTTCTAAGAATGAAAGAAACAAAAAGAATTATAATATGTTTATTCACAAGCTTTATTTTATTATAGCTTTATAGTTTTTTAATAGTATTAATTAGATTAACAAAGAACAACAATTATTTGTAGGGTATAATTATTTTAAAGAAACAACATTGGAAACGTACAAGTAGAAGAATCAAAAGTGCAGGGTAGAATGTTACTAAACTATATTTTAATTAAAACATCTATGCATATATATTCACTAATTTTCTATACTTATTAAATGTGACGTGTGTGATGATGAGACTACAATAATAGTATAGATCTCACTCACTCTCTTGTCTCGTCCTCGTTTCGCCAAAGCGAAAATCCAAAGAAGGAGAGAAAGAATGGATGGTTTCAGCGGCGATGAAACTGCTCCGTTCTTCGGGTTCCTGGGCGTGGCGGCGGCCCTCGTTTTCTCATGCAGTGGCGTGGGTGTTGCCTCGATGGGCGTGATGAGGTCGGAGTTGGTGATGAAATCGATTGTCCCGGTTGTGATGGCGGCAGTGTTGGGCATCTACGGGGATCTTTTGATAGCTGAGTGTGTCGTGTCAATTTTTTTTTTATATAATTTATAATTTTAATTCTTTATTATTTAATATATTTTATTTATATATTTATAATTTTAGTATGTTTGTTATTTTTAATTTTATATATTTTATTTTATTTTTTAAAATTTAATAATTATTTAATATATTTATTTATATATTTATAAATTTATATATTTATATATTATATTTTTTATATTTATTTATTATTGATTAATAATATATTATTTAACGAATAAATATTATGATCCGCCGTCACACGAGCATCAGCCCTAAGGCGAAATCGTATTATCTCTTCGACGGCTACACTCACCTCTCTTCTGTCCTCGCTTGCGGTCTCGCTGGTCTCTCTGCTGGCATGGCCATGGGCATTGTTGGCGACGCCGGTGTTAGGTATCCTATTCTCATTCTCTACTCTCTTATCGTTCCATGTTCAATTTCTTAAGTATTCACTTCTATTCGTTGCCACACTCACTACACTCCGATTGTTCTCTGAGTTTTCTACTTGTTTTGAATTTGTCATGTGGATTACAATGATCGATGATCTTCTGTGTGGAAAGAATTGCAAAATGAGAATGTATTCAAGAATTGGGCAGAGAGTATGTACGTTGTTGTGTAATTTGGATGCCTGTGCAAGGTAATTTGTGTATTGCATTGACGTGTATTATACCTCTTGCACTGTGTTCAAACTTTATTTTGGTTAAATGTAAGTTTGAAGTAAAGTGATCAATGTTTGGGATATGTTTTTTATTATTATTATTATCTTAAAAGCAAGCTTGTTTATGAAAAACTTAAGACGTGTTTGTATATTTGCAGCATATTTGGGCTTATCTGATGATGACATAAGCATTTATTAAGTGTTTGTTAAAATATGCTGTGATTTATTCATATGGTGCTTTCGGCTTATTTTAATCAGCTGTTCAAGATAGCCTATGAAACATCTTACAACTAGTATAAAAATAGTTTAACTTAATTTCCTCTTCGATTATGGAAACATCTAATACTATGTAGCATTTATTCGGTAAGTGCTTAATGAAATTGTTTATCCAAATGTATCATTAGATCAAATGCTCAACCCACTGGAAAGCTACCTTTTGTTTTGTTGTTTGCTTCTAATCTAACTTGCCTTTTGGAGTATAATCTATTAACAAAAGATAAACAAATCTTTACTATGAAATCATGTTTCTGTTCCTAAACATGAATGTGAGGCCTTGAAATATGTAGACAAACATGCTGATAGTTAGTTTGGACTACAACAAACTTTGTAGGTATAATTGATTTTCAATTTATTCTGTGTGGGTGAAAGTCTACAATGAAGAAACAACTATCATGACATGATTCATGGCAGCCTCTGAGATCTGCATCAGTACATGTCTGTTGTCGATTGAATTTGAAGTCACAAAATCATCTTATGCGAGTGTCACTATTGTTGGTACTTCTTTCAATATTCTGACTCTATGTTCACTTTAACCCCTATTGGATGAACGTGTTTAAGGCCTGTTTGGATGGTCTTCTCCATAAGAACTTTTAGTAGAGAAAAATATGAGAAACTATTGAAATTAGCTTCAAAATTTTTGTTAATACACAAAACTAATATGTAGAAGCTCTCTTATACAACTTTTCTAAATTTTCATTTTTAACTCCTACATAAGCTAATTTTAGAATCTCGAACTTATGGAGAAACTCATTTTTATTGAATGTGACATGCTGAGAATGGACACTGTTCTTTGTAAAGCAAATGCTCAGCCACCAAAGCTTTTTGTTGGGATGATTCTGATTCTCATCTTTGTTGAGGCATTGGCGTTCTATGGTCTCATTGTTGGCATCATCCTCTCCTAGGCGCTGGCCAATCCAGAGCTGATTAGTATGAAATTTCCCTTTTGCTTAGCGCTCATATTGGATATTGAATGTCACGAAGGACTAGATATTGATGATATGATTGTAGCTTTGTGATGTTCTTCATTCAAGTAACCTAGAAATAAAACGGCTTAAACAATTTCTTTGGCCATTTATTGGATGTTATCGTGTTGTCCAAAACTAGATTAGAGATATCTGTAATAAAACATGTCTCTCCCCAATCCCAAAACCTTATTTTATGGCTGTTATGGCATTGTGTTTAGATTAAAGAGTATATTTCAAAGTGTGAAAAATGAGAGAAAGAAATTGGAAATGGAGGTTATTTGAATTAAGGGTGTTTGAACGGAGGGAAAAATAATAGAAGTTCAAGAAAATTCAGGAGAAATATTATTGAAGATAAGATTAAATTAATTGATTAAAAAATATTAAATAATAAGATAAAGTGGTAAATGATAAAAATATCTCTTTATATAATTTTAATAAAAATAAATAGAAATTAATGTTGAGATATGATTTATTATAAAATAATTATTTAGTAAAATAGATAAAAATAAAGTCAATTTAATAAATATTAACATTATAAATAAGTTTATTATTCTTACATTATTATTAATTTTTAAAATAAAATATATAATATTCTTTTTATAAGTATTATTTATATATTATTATATATACTTATTTAATATTAAAAAATTTAAAATTATATAAATAAATTATATATTTTCAATAATATATATTTATATATTAAAATTTAATTATTTTTACGATTATATTAGTTGATAAATTCGATGCAAGTTTGATCACATGTTTTTGAATGTTTATAATCACATTGGATGTAGTAAACATATCCTTGATAGAAAGGGATTTATCTCTGGGAGATAAAAAATCATTTCTTTAGTTGCTTTCTGTAGTTTGCTACTCATATCCTATTGGTTTGCTATTCATGCTAATTATTATGTTGATTATTTTGAGGGTATTATTTTGAGTGGATTTATATAATAAAATATTAACTCAATTAATATAAAGGATTTATATTATATTTAACCTAAAATCTTAAAACATTAAATTAGATTACAGGTTAGATTTTTCAACTTCTTCATGTGAGGCTTAAATTAAAATTTTAATCATAAATTTGTGGGTGAATGAAATTTTTCTAACTGCAATTACCTCTAAGTTTTTTCCAATTGTTTATAATAATAAAAATTATATATATATATATATAAAAAAAAGAATATTTTAGATATTAGGGATAATTATAATCACTTTCATCTTCTTCTTTTTTCTCTAATTTTTTTCACAGTTAAAAGTTGGTAAAACAAATCTATTCAAATTCACTCAAATCAATAAATCCAAACATAGTATTTTTACTCACATCTGCAGCTACCTTTCTTCATTTGCCAAATGAAGACACTGAGTGTTGTTTGGTTAATGGTTAAAGTTGTAAATGAATAATGCTGATGGTGGACCTTGTGAAAAAAGCGTGGGCTGCAATTGAAAATACATTTAGGTGTGATCCTAAATAAGGTAGGATACAGTTTGAAGAAAAAAGAAATGACTAAATGATTTTTTTTATATTCTTTTCATTTAGTATTTGAATGATAATAAATTTTGGTAAAACATCTTCAAAATTATTTTTTATCTTTCATATTTTTTAAAAATAGGTTGATATCGATATTTTATTATTAAAATGTAATTTATTTTTTATATTTGAATGACATTGTATTTTAATTCAGTTAGTATTTGAATGATAATAAATTAGTAAATATCTTTAAAATTAATTTTTGTCTTTCACATTTGTTTAATTTTGAATAGGTTTTATATATATAATTAAAATGCAATTTAGTTTTATATGTGAATTACATTATATTTTAATAATAATAATATATAGAGATTAAAATAATAATAATAATAATAATAATAATAATAATGAATAATAATAGACAAAATTAAAATTATTTTAAGGATTATATTTTAATTTATTTAAAAATTAGTTTTAAGATGAAAGTTGTTTAAGGGATATATTATAATTTATTTAAAATTTCAAAACTAAATTAAAATATTTAAACATTTTAAAAGACTAATTTCACTATTCTTAAAAAAAAGTGATTGGTTGATTGAAAACAGCGAAATTTAGCCTGTTTAACTTGAACTAATAAGGAATCAAAATCACGTAATTATAATTTTGGGTTGTTTATTTTTTATTTTATGTTAAATAATTATTTTTAATGACATTCTAAAATATAAAATTTTATTATATATAATTAAAATAAAATGTAAGAATACAATAATAAAAAAAATTAAGACAAGAGGGTTGAATGAATTGAATTTGACAACACACAACTTAACAAGATTTAGAAGACGATAAAAAAATATATTATTTTACCTTTTGTATTCTTCTTCTTCATGTATTCCTTATTTAATTTTTTTTCATAAATCTAAATACATTTCATCATTTCTTTCTTATCATTGTGTTTATTTGTACGGTTGGTTGTTACTTTGAGGGATTTATTTACTACATCGTTTCCATTGTAACAGTTGGCTAGTTCAATGTATGATTTTAAAAGCATTATTTTTTTATGTAGATCCGAAAAACATAATTGTGTAATTCCTAAATATTTCGAAAACTTTTTAGAATCCTTACCAATAACTCAATTGGAAAAATATATTCTAGTTATCCAATTTGAAATCATTTGGGTTACCTAATATAAATTGTTTTCAAAAAGTAAAATTTTAATTATATATAAATATTTTCATCGTAACTTATAAATGTCATAATTATTAATTTTGTAATTGTTGTTTTAAGTATGGGTTTGAAAAAAATTTACTTTAAATTAGGCTTGATTTTAATTTCAATTATAGCCTACTTTTGTATTTTTGTTTTCTTTGCTAGAATTATACTTTTTTTTAAACCCAAATGAAGGGTCAAAGTAAATTCTAATTACAAAGAAATCATAAATTATAACGGGAGAAAAATAAATCATAATTACCATTTAATACATTTCTTGAACTTATATACTCTTATTCATGTTAATCTCCTTTCATATTCTTATTACATACTCATATTCAATGTACTTCATAAAAAATAAAAAAAATCTTTTGTTCCTCTTCTATCTCTTTTCTATGTCTCATAAAACCAACCAATTTACTAAAGGATGGGGAAGAATTAGAGATTTGTTTCTTGGTTTTATGAAAAAAAGAAAAAGAAAACATAAATAAGGAAAGGAAAAATATATGAATATTAAAAGTCTAACATTTCTAAATAATAAAAGAAGTACAATATATTATCAATTTAGTCTAAAATATCATAATAACCTCGAAAAGTGTTTAAAAATATTAAACAAAATAGACTTCTTTTATCACATTTACAAATTATTAATAATCATATGCTACTTTAAAATATTTATATTGTAATTTCTTAATGCATGTTCTTTTTATATTCAAAATTGTATTCCACATGTTAGAAACCCTATCTTTTTGTGTAGTGATATCAACTTAGGAACAATGATTATGAAAGATATTTTAATTTAATATGATAAAAATTTATAATTGTGTACTTTGTTCAATTTTAATAAAGACTATTTAGCTTTAATAAGGTTCTTTTTTGGTGTCATCAAATTTGTTTTGTAACAAGATAAGAGTTACAAGAATGAGTTAATTTTTTCTTTTGAGTCGAGGGTTTATAATTTAAAATTATGAATTTATGATTTAGAGTTTAGAGTTTAAGATTAGGATTTACTTGTGAGGAATTATAAGTTAAAATTAAAGTTAATGTTTTAGGGTTTAAGGGTAGTGTTAAGGTAATGTTTAAGTTTATGATGTAAGGTTTGATTTAGGTTCTAGGGTTCATAATTGGTGTTACAATATATGGACTACCAGTGAAGTTTTAGTGTTAGGATATATGGTTTGGAGGTTTAAGGTTAGGGGTTATAATTTATAATTTAGATTTAGAGTTTAAGAATAAGATTTATTTAATATTTAAGATTTAAGATTGATTATCCACTTCAATCTTATAATATTGTACTTAAAAAATAATCTTTATCTTAAAATTAAGTCAAATTTAAATTTAAATTTTTAATATATATATTGAAAAATTACAATACTTATTATTTATTCAAGTATAATCACATGAAAAATGTAATTTAACTTATAAAAAGTTTAGTTTGTTTAACTTTTAAAAAAGTAGAATAATTGATTCAAAATTGGATAAATTTTGATTGTAAATAATAATAATAATAATAATAATAATTATTATTATTATTATTAATATTTATTATTTTATAGAAATTATTAGGTTTGAAACAACTATTCAAAGTCTAATTAATAAAAAATAATAAATAAAATTTTGATTTGTTTCTATATTTATTTTTTTCCAAACCTCATAATTTACTTTAGATTAAAATTTATGAATCACAATCGAACTAAAACACTTATTATATTTAAATATAATATTATTCATTTAAAATGGATCATCAAATATATCTACAAATATATTTTTAAAAGTTACTTTATAATCTATTATATTTTATAATTACATCTCTTAAAAGTAAATTTATAATTTTATTATATTTTATGTATAACTATATTTTATTTATAAAAATTTTGAATTATAATATTTTAACTATAAAATTATATGATTTATTTATAAATATAAAAAAATTATAAAGATAATGATAATATAAAAAACAGTATAAATATTACAAATATCGATTTGAATATTAAGTTAAAATCAAATTAAATTACATTTAATTTTTAGATTATTTCTAAATAATTATTTAATAAAAAATGAATAAAACAAATTATGAATTAAGATGTAGTACATTAGCTTGGCTTCCGTGAGTCTGAGTGGAATCTTTGAATTTTGTTAGTCCACGCGTTGTCCCAAGATTGAAGCATCCTACCAAGACACAGTAGAGTGGGAAACCTCAGTCAACTGATGAAGTCAAAGTCTAACTTTTTATTAATTTTTTTGCAGCACACAAAAAATTATTTATTGGATGGGTTTCTCTGTCTCAATGTTTCTTCACTTCTATTGTTAAGGAATAATGAATAATCATTGTTAGTAGTTAGTATTCAAAAATCAATTCATATTCACAATTAACATTTTTTTCACAAAATTATATACATCAAAATTTATTTTACAGATATTGTTTATATATTAATGTTCTTCACAGTATTTTCTACCTGGATTAACAATTACTCAACTTTGACCAAAAACGTGTCTTGAGAAACACGTCACATAATAAGTATAACAAATTATTAACTGTACGCATGTTTTTTACACAATTTTAAAACTATTGCTTAATTCAAAATTAACAAGCTATGTGAATTTATTAACTAATAAATTAATAATTGAATTGATAAGTTGAAGTTAAATACTTGAATTACAGATTAATTTGTTAATGTGTACAGTTTTTAAATGATGTAGATAAAAACTATTATAAAGTAAAATCATACTAAAATTATGTGCAGTGTCTTGTCATAATAAATGGTATAAAAAATCAAAATGTCAGAAAAGAACAACTCAAGGACCCAGGACACCCAATTGAAACGGATTAATTAATGATATTATTTATTTTACGAGTAAAGACTTGGTCAATATTAGTGAGTTTGTTAGTATCTTAATATCTGGCATGAGTTTTCGATATTAAATTCAGATAAAGGTGATCAATAAAATTATAAAATTTTGAAATGAAGTGTATACCTCCATTTCTTAATATATTTATGTTTTGCGTTGAAATTTTGTTTTTTTAATATTTTATGTTTATAAAGTTTAAAATTGTATTAATTAAATATTATTTTTTTAATTATATTTCTTGAAAAAATTATTTAAAAAATGTTTTAATTAAAAAAATATCAAAATAATAAAATATTAATTAAAAAACCTAATAAATTTATTAAAAATAGAGACTTACTGATATTTATTTGGCAAAATGTTAATATATGTTAAATAACAAATAAACTAGAAACAATATCTCATATTTAAAAAAAAATACTTAAATTTATAATATGAAATTCTGATAAGTTTGTAGATAAATAATAAAAGTTTAATTGATTTAAGTTAAAGTCATTTCTGTTGAATTAAAAGATTTATTGCAAGTGGTTACACTCTTCGTATCTCTTATGATTAAAATGAATTAACAGTATTAATCCTTAAATAGAATATCTTATACATATTTTATTAAAATAAAAATTTTATTATATTTCATGATTTAAAAAAAAATCTTAAGAAAATGAAAAAAAGAGAGAGTATTTTCAAACATTCACCCTCCAAAAATTAAAAAGAAAAACATACACAATCTAAAGAATTGATTTTGTACTACATGTTCAAAGAGAAGTAGTTAATAATCTATTCTGAGCTCCATAATAAATCCTATGAATCTTTTCACTCTTTAAGTAGATTCATTACCAAAGAAAAGTATGAGACACTGAATAAAAATTTAGGGGTTAAAACTTAAAAGTGACATGTACAAAACCAGTTAAGAATCAAGCATGTGAATCCTCCACCAAAATCCAAGGTGTTTAAAATGAACATAGAATAATTAATTAGGCAAAAGCATAAAAAAGAAGCCAAAAGAATTAAAAAAGAAATTTTACATTTCCAAATGGGAAGGAATTATTGGAAGTTGGTTTGGTTTGGTTTGGGCAATGCCATTTTTTCTGTTCCTCTCTCTCGTTCATTTTTTTTTTATTCAAAAGTCTCTTTTGACCACCACCACCTTCCACCTTCTTCCCTTCTTCGTCGTCCCTGCTCCCTCCTTTCCTTTCTCCTATTTCTCTTTCTCTCTCACACACAATCATCCACACTACACATAAACCTCTGAATTCTTTCTCTCTCTTTCTCAATATCTCTCTCTGATAATGAATCAATGAATGGTAACATCTTCTCTTTCTTCCTCTGATCTCTCTGCCATTCTTCCATCATGGGCATCTGTTTATCCTCCACCAAAGTCAGCGGCTCCAGCAGCAACAACGCCGGTGCTTCCAATCGCAACCGAAAATGTTCGGCGCCCGTGCGGGGGGAGACCGTGACGGCGCAGAAGCAGCAGCCATCGCAGGGTCAACGGCGACGCGTGCCGGATGATTCTCAGAAGCACCCACGCCCCAGGGAGAAAACGAGCACGCGTCGCCAAGGGGGACACGTCCCCTGCGGAAAGCGCACGGATTTCGGGTACGATAAAAACTTCGACAAGAAATTCTCGCTCGGGAAGTTGTTGGGACACGGGCAATTCGGTTACACCTACGTCGGGATAGACAAAGTAAATGGGGATCGTGTCGCCGTTAAGAGACTCGAGAAGAACAAGGTATTCAGTGTTACGCTTTCTGTTCTTCCGCAGGGACGGGATACCCAGTTTAGATTTTGTGATCGTTATGCGGAAATGGAAATATGTTTGTGTTCTTTTTCCAATTTTGGTTGATGGGTCAGGGGGAATTATGATTTATTTTTGGTTCGCGGTTCTGGAGGTACTATTCATTTTGGTGCTGAAGATTGGTAAATTCGTTTGTAATATGGGATAAAGATTTGTTTTAGTTACAGTATTTCTTTACTTTGCTTCGTTAATTGAAAAGGGGTTTTTGGAATGTCAGCTGATTCCCCCGCTGCATTTTATGTTGTTCGACGTTGACCTCGACTAGCTCCAATATCTTATTTCGAGGATGATGTTTTCATAGGCCCGGTTTTTATCAGACATAACAAGGTTGATTAGTTATGCCTTTTTCTGCAATTTGTATAGTAAGCCACTTGGTTGCTTTTTTTTTTTGCCCTTCTTTATAGACGGTAGGTTTACAAATTGTTGATAATGCCGTTTTTCATTTCACTTTTGCTCATCGTTATGTGGCGGCATCGTGATGGAGCTAATTAATGCTATACGGAATTGTTTGAATTCGAGCGTGTTACACGTTCTACAACCAACAAATCATGACCTTGATGTGAGAAACTTATAAGATGGAACTAGTTAGTGTTGATTACGATGTGAAAATCCACATCCTGATCCGTTTCCAAACACTCTCTTCAAATAAATGAGCGGCAGGGTAATAAGGAATCTGGCTAGCGTTGCTGGTCTGCAATTGGATTGAATATATGTGAAATATATGAATTTTGTGTTCCGAAGTTTTACTCTAAGCTCTTTCTAGTGTTTTCTTCTTATTTATGTTCCAATTTGTCATAACATGAGTTTTCATGCCTTCCTGAATCATTCCTTGAATTTGATGGCAGATGGTTCTCCCTATAGCAGTTGAGGATGTTAAGCGTGAAGTCAGGATATTGAAAGAACTAACAGGCCATGAAAATGTGGTTCAGTTCTATAATGCTTTTGAGGATGATTCATACGTGTACATAGTTATGGAGTAAGTTACTTTTGTGTTTAGTCTCTTTTTTATGCTGTTTCACTGTGGTCATATGATTTTGAGCATTGCTTAACTGCAATATACTTAGGATATGTCTTTTGGGATCTGATTCATCAAAACATTTGTCTTGTGTTTATACTTTCTAATGTTCTTTCATATATAACGTCAGTGTCAGTATTAACATGAACTTCTTAACAATTTCCTTCTTAGGTTATGTGAGGGTGGAGAACTGCTAGATCGGATATTGGCCAAGTAAGTTTCCAATTTATCTTGAATGTGATTTTTCCCCATTGTCTGAATGGCTCCTCAGACTGTTTACGGTGCTCAAATTTCAGCATGATCCCTAATAACTCCAAGTATTTGTGTTTAACAATATTTATTATTGTTTTGCAACTTAACTATGTCAGCCTTCATGTTTATCAGGAAGGACAGTCGTTATACTGAAAAAGATGCAGCTGTGGTCGTAAGGCAGATGCTTAAGGTTGCAGCTGAGTGTCATTTACATGGGTTGGTTCATCGGGACATGAAACCAGAGGTGTGTGTGGTCAAGAATATTGGCATATCTAAGTAATATGTTGTAATGCGACTATAAATTAATTTTTTTCCCCTTTGCATGCAGAACTTTCTTTTCAAATCAACCAGAGGAGATTCACCTTTAAAAGCCACCGATTTTGGGTTGTCTGATTTCATAAAACCTGGTGAGCAAAAATAATTGAATTAAAAAATGATTTGTCTCCTTTATATTCCCTTTTCATTCAACATGTTCTTGGAATTTTATTTGACAGTTTTAGTTTTCTCTCTATGAAAACAGGAAAGAAGTTTCAAGATATTGTTGGCAGTGCTTACTATGTTGCACCAGAAGTGTTAAAACGGAAGTCAGGTCCAGAGTCAGATGTATGGAGTATTGGTGTGATTACATACATATTGCTTTCTGGGAGGCGCCCATTTTGGGATAAGACTGAGGATGGTATCTTCAAGGAGGTAGATTTCATTTTAGGACATTAGTCTCCCGCAATATATGTGGGATTTTGATCTATTCTTGCTTCTTTAAGAACAAGAATAAATGTTTGGACTTTACTTTCTTTCCTTCAATTAAGAACTTGAAAAATCTTTTGATATTACATTTAATTTACAATCTTGTCATATGAAGGTGTTACGAAACAAGCCTGATTTCCGGCGGAAACCATGGCCAACCATAAGCAATGCTGCAAAAGATTTTGTGAAGAAATTGCTGGTAAAAGATCCTCGTGCAAGATATACTGCTGCTCAGGCTCTATGTACGTATCTAACCGATTTCTTATTATGAGAAGGCTGTTTATTACATTATCTAGTTTCCTTTCCATTAACTAATTACTTTTTTATCACTGTCTCAAAGTTAGAGCGTTCAATAATGTTCAAAGTTTACGCACTGAATTATATTATTTGAAATGCTGTTCATCTTAAACATATAAAAGTTTTTCAGTTTTAATGATATTTAATATTGACGCTATGCATTTTGCAAGAATGGCTCTCAATTTAGACTTTTCATCATGTATCCACATGTTAAAAGTTTGATTTTTTTTTTTCTCTTACCATTCGAGACCAATTTGTCTTTCAATTAAAATGGTCATGAGGCCCTCCACTTATGGATTTTTGAGAGGATAAATGCAGTTAGTCTTACCTCCATAAGTAGAAAGACGGTTGCTTTTAGGATTTGAACCCGTGAGCTCTAGGTCAAGAGGCAGCAACCCTGTCATTGCACCAAGTAAATTTACTGTGCAAGTATGCAGCAGTGACAAAGTAAATTTACAACCTATAAACTGGTTATCTAAATGCAACTATATGGTAATCATAAGATATCATTTTCAAATTTCGTGAGTGGCCTAGTTGTCCTTGCTTATTATGAAATAGCTATAGCTGCTCAACTTTGTTACTTATTGGGCCAAGTTTGGTTTGCATTAGTTTTTCATAGATTTTTTGTTTCAGTACAAGCTTAGAAATTATGCTAAATTTTGTTCCTGACTGGGATTTTTAATCTAATAATTCAGAGTCAAACATAACTGTATTTTCTTTCCCTTTATCTAAACATGTAAAACAAAGAGATACCTTAATGTCGTGTTTAATTTTGATGAATTCTCCTATTTCCAGCACATCCATGGGTTAAAGAGGGAGGAGAGGCATTGGAGATTCCTATTGACATATCTGTCCTGAACAACATGAGACAGTTTGTGAAGTATAGTCGGTTGAAACAGTTTGCACTAAGGGTGAGAAACGACAAATTAATTCAAACCTTTGCATGTTAGAGCAATGGAACTTGTTTGATGCCAAATTTTGTTACTTGATTACCATGCAGGCATTGGCTAGCACACTTAATGAAGAAGAGTTGTCTGATCTAAAAGATCAGTTTGATGCAATAGACGTGGACAAAAATGGTTCTATTAGTCTTGAAGAGATGAGACAGGTAACCCATTAATCAACTACTTTCTGAATATATTGAATCCAAACACATTATTTATCAATTGGTGGGCAATTAACCCCTTTGCCTGCTTTGATCTAAAGGCCATATTTTGTGCAGGCTCTTGCTCAAGATCTCCCTTGGAAGTTGAAAGAATCACGTGTGCTAGAGATATTGCAAGCGGTTAGTATCTATGATGATCATATGCATGCACCACATTTTTGTTGGTTACTTATCAGCCAGTTTTTGACTAAAAATTTGAAACATAGAGTTTCTTTTGTGGTTAATAGGGGTATTCGTGGTAATATTTGGATTGGTTTTATACTAAGAAGTCACTCAAACCAAATATAAAATTTAATTATGATTTGGTTTGGTTTTCATTTTTTATAAAATCCGAATCAAACCAAATCAATGTTTTACGGGTTGATTTGGACAGTTTCTACGTGTTTTTATTATTACAAAAAACATATTATAATAAAATAATTATTTAATAAAAAAATATTATAAAAGCATTATGCATAATTAATTTTGATATTCATAGTTTCAGTTTGATTTCATATACTTCTAAATTCAATTTTAAAAAAATAACAATATATGTCCTAAATTATAAAAATTTAATTGGCTTATGTTTCAAGTTTAATAATATATATTATAATTTTGATCCGATTTGGGTTGATTATTGACTGTCAAACTGAAAACTAAACCAAACTGATTGGTTTTAAAAAATTTCAATAAAAAAAATATTGATTTTGCTCTGTTTTTGTTTTTTTTAGATTGGTTAGGTTTTGAACACTCCTAATTAATTTAATGAACTAGAGTATTAGTCTCTACATTACAAAACATAAATACTTATTTATAATTCTAATTATAATTCACAACAAATAAATATTTTTTAATTTCTCAACTATATTATAATTAATTTTCAGACTAAATATATTATTTTAAATATATAAATTATATTTTGTATTTATAATAAATAATTTAAATTTTAATATTTTTTTCAAATTAAAATAGATAGGAGGTTTAGAAAATGAGATATACAGGTAAAGACAAAAGAAAAATAATTTCAGATAATTGAGAGATATTCTTTAGGCAACTGTAAGGATAGTGTGTGAAATGTACTTTGCAAGTAGAAAAGAGTGAAGAATCCTTAATTGTGAAAGTGGTGGAGTAAGAGTTTCACTTTCCAAGTTAGAGATTCCAACTTATATAATACAGGAGTGAATTTCTCTCTCTGTTATAATTATTGTATATTTTTAATGAGACGATAGATGTTGATTCCCTTAATCACTCTCTATTCACCATGATGGCTTTTTTCTTGTGTGCTGGCAGATAGACAGCAACACAGATGGGCTAGTGGATTTCACTGAGTTTGTGGCAGCTACATTACATGTACATCAGTTGGAGGAACATGATTCTTTTAAGTGGCAGCAACGATCACAGGCTGCTTTTGAGAAATTTGACTTGGACAAGGATGGCTACATTACTCCAGAAGAACTTAGAATGGTTGGTCTCTTGACTTTGCTCAAGCACCTTGAACATTTTTTTATGACAAGTTCTCCTTAGAAATTACTAAATAGTAGCCCTGCAATAAAATATCTTAATTCGTTTTTGCATCATTTCGGCAAAGTTTATATTTTGAGAGAAGGAAAGGTTGGTGTTTAAGAGCCAGGCAGGTAGAAAACCTACTCCACTTGAGCTCCATATATTTGCAGAGAGTAGTGCCGTTTACATGTTTGCTGCAAGCAACTAATATCATTTCGTTGGTTTTTTAGCATACGGGTTTGAGAGGCTCCATTGATCCATTGCTTGAGGAAGCGGATATAGATAAAGATGGAAAGATCAGTTTACCAGAATTCCGCAGACTTCTAAGAAATGCAAGCATCGGTCGAAACGTGTTGAGCCCGAGTCACCATCATCGAAAGATATAGATTAGATGTGTTTCAGAGGCCGAGATAAATGAGGAAATGAGAGTGATGAATTTGGTTTAGATGATCTTCTATGCTCTTTGTGCTGAAGCCCTTGTTGTGCACATTTTGCATTCTGACCATGATTATTTGGAACTCTGAAACTACATTTATGTTGACTATGGCATACCGCACTGCAGGATTGTGTGATAAGCTTAGCGGAGAGGACCATGTCAAGAGGTTTTTAATAGTGTGTGTAAACCCTGCGTGGATTATTGAGTCATCAGAGTTTCGTAAGTGTACATCTTTTAAGTGCAAGGTTTTCTTGGGCTTGTTTGTGCAATACATGTCATGTGTAATACTGTAATTATAAATAAAAATCTTCTTAACCCCCTCAAAAAATCTAGCAAAAAATACTCAAATGAAATATATTTAGATCTCCATTAATATTTTTCTGGTTCGCCTGCAGAAAGTTATGGCCTGCTGTTTTTATTAACTCTTTTCCCTTTTAAATGTTTGCATCCCTTTATTGTTTGTCGTTTTAAAAGTTTAAGATAATATTAGCGATTATTTAATCAATTACGTGATTTAGAGATGAAGAATTTAAGAATAATAAATGATAGATATTATCAATAAGTCAGATACACATAATAATAGGAAATTAGGTGATAACATTGTTAAAAATAAGAATATCAATCGTAATTCTTAATTCTTTAAATCTCTTGATAATAAGTGAAGGCGTTACTAATTTAAATAGTTATTAGACGTATATTTTTTCCACATTTTCCTTAGAGACTAAATTATATTTGTAAAGTTAAATACATTTAATTATTTTTTATAACTTTTTTTTCCTTTAATTTAAAAAAGTTCAAGTTTTCATTTTCTTTAAAATATATCTATAATCTTTATAAAAATCTTTTCTTTAGATTTTTTTTCTATAACTTCGTACTTTTTACTAAATTTTTGCGTCGTTTTTTTTTATTCGAACACATAAATTAGGAGGTAACAAATATAAGAGCAATTAGTTTAAATTTTTTCATAACTCTAGGTTAGATAAGGTGAATGAAGTATACTAGTGTGACTACGTTGTAGAAGTTGAGAAATTGCTTTGAAATGTGGAATTTGATGGATTGCATTATAAATTATTTGAAATGATAAGAATTTATACTGATGAGTTGATAAACCAAGATAGTTTGGAATTGTATACATGGTCTAGAAATATATGAGTTGATTGGAACAAATGAGCTATAGAGGATTTAAGGCCAAAAGTTAGCAAGTATCATCTGTAAAATGTACTTGAAAGTAGCTTATACAATTGCCCACTGAAAAAGAAATAAATTAAAATATGTTATAACTCTTTATCTCTTTTGTAGGTTAACGTGACTACTTAGCTTATAAAAAACTTAAAACTAGACTAACTTAAATGATGACTGTCCGAGATAAAATTGGTTATAGCAAGAAAATGTTCAGAATAAGATTATGAGATGACTGAATCTGGCAGAGCCAGTTAGACATCTCCTCATAAGCTTATACGAAAATAAAGGCAGAAAAGTAAAGACAGAAAGATAAACACACAAGTCCATGATAAGATTATGAGATGACTGAATCTGACAGAGCCGGTTAGACATCTTCTCATAAGCTTATATGAACATAAAATAAAACTATACAAAAATTTTTAAGTCTTTAAATGATCATAGCATCTTTTAATAAATACCACTTAAGGCATCCGATGACGCCCTTAACGAAAAACTACTCCATAAAAAGGGAGTAAAGAAAACTTACTTGAAAAAGGGGAAGGAGAAGAAAAGGGGGAAAGTGAATATGTTTCTCTTATTGATTGTATGTAATATTTACATGAGAGTGAGAGAAGTAGAGAGAAGGAGGAGTTAGAAAGGAAAGGGATGAAAGGACTCTTACCAAGTATAATGGACTTATAGGTTCTTATATAGAAAACAAAAATAGTAAAATATTAAATAGTAAACTTTACATGTGGAACCTACTTTATGACTTATGGGTCTTAAAAAAAACTTAAAAAATAAGTTATCTAAAAGAGATAGGAGTTTACTGAAAATATTCTTCCGTCACTAAAAGACAAAAATTTGAAATAGTAATTTTTATTTATTTATCAAAAGATTGATTCAATATTTCTGTTTGATGATTAGATATGAGAATTTAAGATAATAAATTATAGGTGATGATTTTTGTTTCAAATTTTAAGTACGTTTTAATACATTAGTTTACTTTGTATGATGGTATATTATATAATCATGATGATCATGAATTTATATAAAAAGAAATAGTAAGTATGAATTTTAATTATGATAATCTATTTATGAATCTTATATATTTTGTTACGTAAATATAAAATCCCTGAAAGTAATTAATTATTTGTTATTGTGGTTCCATGAATAACCTGTAAAACCTATTAAAAAAATTAACACTTATAGTTGTGAATATCATAATAAGACAAACAGCCCGTGAATATCTTTATTTCAAAACATAATAATTTGAATAAAGCTATGTCAGGGGTTAAATTAAAGTTTTGGGATACAAAATTAGAGAAACAAAAGTGTGAATAAGAAATTAAAGAAAACAAAATTTATAATGTAGCTTAATTATTATGGAAGGATGTTTTTCTTAAATTAATTTGTTTAATCAACCATTAATATTTAATCTTAAAATTATCATAGTTTTTCTTTCTCTTAATTTTATTGTTCGTCTCACTAGCTACTTTTGTACATAGATATAAGAATATTTTTAATGAGAATTACTTATTAAAAGATTTGAGTACAGTATAATGGCTTGAAATAATTTTTTGTTAAGTGGTATGATAAGATGTTTAAAAATCTGTGTTAGTTGTTATACCAAGCAACATAAAGTATGTTTAATAAAAATTGATTATTAAAATATTTCAATAAAATACTAGTTGTTTTAAATAATTTTTTATTAAAATAATAGTAGTGTTTTAATTTTTGTCTTAATTGTTTATAAGTAAATTAAAAAAATAAAGAGTAAATAAAGAGATAGAATAAATTTTTTGAAGTTTTTTTTAACGCTTAAATAATGTTATTAAATAAATTGTGTTTTACATTTTTAAATGTGAGAAATAATTTATGAATTCTTTTTTGAGATGTCCTAACAAAAATAAATAAAAATGTGTAAACAATAAGAGAGAAATAATTTTTTAAAGTTTGGTAAAACAATTCTATTTTGAACAAAATTAATTAATATTTAAATATGATGTAGTTCGTGAAGTCTATAATTTTTTTTTAAGATAAAAATTATTATATCGATTTTTTTAATGATAATAGATATAATTAAGTTTTAGAGTATATAATATATCTGTGTCATAAGAAATATAAAATGAAATCAATATGTGCAAATAAAATGAAATCATAAAAAAATAAATGTGCAATGGTCAGAATGCAATGAAAATTTACTGTATAGTACACAGTTTTTCAAATAAAAATGAAGAATATTTAAATATATCAAATTTGTCGTAGTTATATAGAATGAAATATTTTCTTTAACAGTGATGTTTACATGAAAAGGGAAACATACATATGTTTCAAAGATATATAAGGAAAATATTTGAACTAAAGAACTTAAGAATATTTAGACATACTAAATTATTAGTATAAAATGAGTTTTTTACGTCACCTAATTTTTATAAAAAAAAATAACTGATTTTAAAATAATATGATGACCTTTTTGTAAATAAACGTCGAACCTCTTAAAAGTCGATGTAAAAGCTATTTTTTATATCAAGTGACTTAAAAGTCGATGTAAAAGCTATTTTTTATATCAAGTGACTCTCTAATCGACGTAAAAAACGGTTTTTACATCGGTTCCTATGAAGTCCGATATAAAAATCGCATTTTAATTGTTTAAGAGCTTCTTTTTTCCTCTCACGTGCAAGGGTTTTTTAGTGACAATGACACCAATGATCAAATCAGCTCCCTTCAAGGTACATTTCGACCACAGTGAGTGACAAAAACACTTTCATTTTGTCCCATTTGTGGTGGTTGACATTTCTTTCTAATTGAATTTGAGTTTTTGAGCGTTTTTTGTATATTTGAGGTTAATGTTTTATGTTGAAATTGAATGTTTCCACTGGATTGTTATTGAAATTGAACTATTGTAGTTTATGATTATTCGTTTATGCGTTTGAATCCTATAATTTTTGTTGTTTATCTTGTAGTTCGTATAATATAGTATATAAGGGTTTAGGGTTTTATGATGAAAAGAAAATGGAAAATATTCGAAGCAAGATAAGTTTTGACTCCAATGTCGGATTTGGACGCACAACATATCAAAACGAAGAGAAAAAAGCGAAAAAAAGGTCAAAATATGTTCCTAAGCACATGTAATAGACAAAAGTTTGTGTGGGTATAACTGATTCTTGGAAAGAGGTCAATTTAATGTTTTAGGCATTTCAAGATTCATCCATCTCCACTATCATAACATGATATTACACAAATTAGAGAGTAAAGAACAAGATTTTTCGTTCAATATTTATAGTACTTAGTTTGTACCTTACTATTTGTATTGTATTATATAGTTTAACATTTAGGTAGCTTAGTTTTTTTATTAGTTTAGACTTTGTATTAGTTTAGTTTTGTAATGTTTACCTTTTAAGTAGTTTAGTCTTATATTATATTATATTATTGTATTTTTGAATTATTGTCTATTGAAATTTGGACTCGCTATAAGAAAAAAAAAAAGATGAAATTTACGTCGAACCAAGGACATACACGACATAAATTTACGTCGGTTATACCCCAGATCTATCATAAATTTACATTGGATATGTCCCTGGTTCAACATAAATTTATATCGATGATTATGTCCGACGTTAATTTACGTCTTCCGTTTTAATGCTAAACTTGTTTCTAATGTGAAAAAATCAAAATAATAAACGTAAAAACCTCATTTTATACTAGTGAATGAAGATTTTATGCAAAGAAGAATATCAACAAAATATCAAGAGTATCTTAGGATTTGAAAGTCCTTTAATACAGCCA